GAGCGGTTCTAGACGCGATTAATCGATAAGACTATCGAACGCGAAACCGCTCGCGTTTACTCGCAGGCACTTCCGATTCCGTTCGTTATCAACCGAAACGACGGAACAACTTTCATACGTCTTTCGTTCGATTCGAACGTCGCGATGCGTCGTGACCGCGATTCCCACGAAGCCGGCCTATGTCGGGAACGGCGGAGTTCGTGTCGCGGTAATTAGTACGATGAAAAGCTAATTTGGATAGTAGTCGTTAACGCGGTCTAAGCCACCAGACGGTACCGAGTGTCTAGCTTTTTCTTTTCATCCAGTTTCATCCTGCCGCTTCTGTCCTTTAACGTCGTTCCGTTTCACTCGATTCGCCCTTTCTCGTCTTATTTTCTATCTGGCTGCACAGAACTTTCGCGATAAAAGCACCGAAACTCTTTTAACGGGTGCTAAATTGAAACACTACTGCAATAAAGCGGCACGGTGCCGTGACTCCTTCTACAAAGAGCCGTTCTTTCTTCGCCTGTCCGGTTCGAACCTTCATACGTCTTCGCTCCGTAGCCAAAGAGCAGGAAAAAAGCTCTCTCTTGGAACAAGCGCGAGGAACATCGGCGAGAGAACGAGCAACGGGTCAGTCGCGTCGAACGAATCGGAGAATTGTTATAATCCTCGAGATAACGACGCGTCGATAATCGCCTTAATCACGACCCGATGCAATTTCGCGAATTCTCCGGCGCGTATTCCGCGACACTGGAACAGCGAATGAAATTCAGAGATCTTGATCCGCGATAAGACACGGTGCGTAACGACGTCGACGAGCTCCTTATAGAGACAAGTATATTTCATGCATAGTACTAGAGCAACGAGGACGCCGAGAAGGGATAAAAGAGAGGATGAAACTGCACCGGTTGCGGAGCCTCCTCGGCTTTAGCCAACTTTCTTTGGAGATGAGGCGAAAGGAACCGGAAGAGTGGCGTACTGAGACAGAAAATGAGAGAATGCCGGTGGAGTAGCAGAGGACGGAGTTAGGAGATGTTTGAGAAAGTTTGCAATTTCTTCGAACAAGAAACGCGTGCGAGTGCAGCTAGTTCGGCGAGCGTGCACACGTAATAGGGTAATTCCGCGAGCTCGATGCTCTCTTCTGTTCTTCGAGTACTCGGTGCGGACTTGGATAACGGCGCGCAACGCAACGCAACGTCGTAACCTCCTTGTCTCCGTGCTTACCGTCCCGTGAAAGTCACAACCCTAATAATTCCGCTTAATTAAACCGTTTATCTCACGGCTAATTTCTCCGACGTACGACCACCGTTCAACGTTTTAATATCCCGTCGCTGACTGTTTCGCCAACGTTGTTTCGTCCCTGCCCGTGATTACGTTGCCAGCGTTTTACGCGCAGAGCGACCACGCTTCTTTCATTTACCGGCTAACTTTTATCGACCATGTATCGGTGACGATCGGATTAGGTCGTAAAAGCTCAAGGCGACGTTACCCTTACGATTTTGCTATAAACCCGAGGATTGGATCATTCCGTGCATATTCGTGGTACAAGTTTCTACGCGCGTATAAACAGCGGGCGTAACGAAGCGAACTTGTGTCATCGACGATTTAACCGTATCGTCGCCAACGAAACGGGTATCGGCCCGAAACCGCGATGAAACCGCGATGAAACCGCGATAAAATTGCCGAATGCGAGGCGCGTGATGAAACGCGAAAAGAACAAAAAGTATGTTAAAGAGCGATACGCCCGATCTCGAAAGAAAGAGAATTTTTCTTCTCGTAACTACTGCAATTCCGTACATTTTCATTTCGACAAATAGCATCGATGAAATTTTACGCCGACGAACGGATACTCGCGCGTTTCGTATTCACGATTCGTATAATGGCCCGGAATCGAATTCGTTACCTTGCGCTTCCATTTCACGAGACACGAAGTTTGTCGTAATTAAAATTATCGGAAATAACGCGAGGTCCAAGTGTAATATTTATCGCCTCGAAAAATAACCTTATCGCGTTATCGAAGTAATTGATTTAAAACGCAAACAATGCGCGGGGTTTCCAGTTTAACGGAAAGCTGCTTAAAATACGACGTTGATATTTTTACCGAGATTTTCGTATTTCGATAAATACGGAGAGTGGCTGGATGGCGCGCGAAATTATTTACATCGCGAGTATTCGCGAAACAACGTTATTCGATTCAACGTATCGGCTTCTAATCTGCTTCGAGATAATTTGAGGGCTCGAGGTTGTATGTAACGCGACGAAATGACCAGTTTGTATTCTATAATTGTGCCTGACTGGCGTAGTAATCGAGCGCATTCCATTATAGGGTAATATCTTTGGTAATAATGTATACCGTTCTAGATCCGCGCGCTATCGACGAACGTTTCGATCGATGAAACAGGTAAGAGAATCGAAGGCTTCAACGTTTCGCTTCTATTCAACGGCGAAATTGGAAAATTATCGAGAGGTAATTCAAGCGCCACACGAAGCATCTCGCGCGGCAATTCCATTTTCAATCCTCCACGCGACGCCGTTTATTTTAGCGAAACAATAGGTCTGTACTCCGTTGCTAAACAATTCGATTACTTTTCCTTTCAATGGCACGCGTTATCCGACGATACAGCTGTTGCGCTAAACGACCAAGACGCGAGGCGATAATGCGGAATATTCAGAGCGAGCGTTGCGAGAGAGGGAAATAAAAGTTGGCGATCAGTGATACTACTCGCTCTATCGTCCGGCCTAGCTTTGTTACTATGTTATTTTGCTCGGAGCGACGTAAACGGAACGATGGCTCGAGAGCTACGAGTCCATTGCAAGTCTTTCGCTGTTTTACGCAGCGTACCTGATTCGAGCATTGACATCCGACGTAGGACAGGTCGGACGCTCAAGTACGAAAGCTCCGTGGGAAAGGTCGCGAAAGCGTTTAGATGGATCGATGTAGCGCGATGTTTTACACGAAGGTGGTACGGAACCGATGGTAGTTTCGCAGATTGGTCTGTAAACGGAACAACATTCGTCGCTTTTACCGTGGTACCCGTGTCCACTTTGTTACGGCCTTTCGAGTTCCACTTCAACGAAACACGTTCTCTCGCCTGTCGCATACGCGTGTAGTTAGCAACCACGTGTCGTTCGTCGTTTCTACTGGCCGTAAAGATTATATAAGTTGCTCGTGTCCTTAGAATTTCAACGAGCGAGCACTAAAGAGAAAATCGTTACTCCGCTGCGTTACGACGTGCGCCGTGTGTTTACATAGCCGACAGTTTATTGGGAAAATGAAAGGTTCTCCGAACAGAGAAGCGAGAGATGATTTTGATAAAAATTGTTTCGTCGGTGAAAAATTGGAGCGGGTGTACGCACGATGCCTGATATTATTCGCGAAAGCGTTCGAAGGAAACGAGACTCGAGACTATAGGTCGACGAGGGTTGCGTTCGCCTCTTATTTTATACCGTCGCGTGGCGGCAAGGGAAACGAGAAAAGGAGAAAAGGAGAAAAGGAGAAAAGGAGACGAGAAGACGAGAGGAGAGAAGATAGATCCGACTGATTCGAATAACAGCTTGGCAATTGAGAAGCGTCGAGGTATAGAGTTGTCGGGCTATCGAGAAAGGGGAAAGAATGGGGCGGTGGATTGCGTCAATTTTTGAGTTATCGCAGGCAGGATTGCACGCGGGCCAATTAAATTTTTAGCGTACGCTATTCGTCATCGTTCTCGTTCTACCGTTTTTTGTCCAATCTGGCTGTATTCGGTATTCCGAACGTCAATGTTATTGCCGTATCTCGTGTACAGATTTCGATGCAACGCAATATTCTGGACATCCGATGCTGTCTATATAATAGTTCCTCTACTGCGAGCTTTCGCTGAGCTTTCACTTTTCGTCTGCCTATAACGAGTCATACGGCTAGTTTTACGAGTTATCTAATGGGGTTCATCGTTTGCACGGGAATTCTCCGTTTTTAAATGCCTCGT